AGCTGGGGAGGGGAGGCGAGGACCGAGTTTAGCGCTGCGGGGGCGGGGGCACCCCGTCTGCCCCCACCCCCCCCCCCTTCTTAAAGGGCCAGTGCTGCGCCGCTCCGGGGCCAGGCCCCACCCTGGAAACCTGGGACAAGGTCCCAAAACAGGGTCCAGACTTCGGAGTACCCCGCCCCCTTTCTGCGTCCCCCCAGACCCTTCTGGGAGGAACCTGAGCTGGGTCCTGCCTCACTTTCCTCCTTTCTGCCCTGGAAGGGACTAGGAGGTAGTGTCCTTCTTAAAGGGCCAGTGCTGCGCCGCTCCGGGGCCAGGCCCCACCCTGGAAACCTGGGACAAGGTCCCAAAACAGGGTCCAGACTTCGGAGTACCCCGCCCCCTTTCTGCGTCCCCCCAGACCCTTCTGGGAGGAACCTGAGCTGGGTCCTGCCTCACTTTCCTCCTTTCTGCCCTGGAAGGGACTAGGAGGTAGTGTGGGGGTCTCCACAACTCCAAACCTAGAGAGGAAGTCAGTTTAGTCTCTGAGCCCCAAGAACCCCGTTTTGCAGAGGCACCCATGTGACTACTACCACTTGAGTGTGGCCCCAAGGCCCTCAGTGTCCGGTCCACAAAGCGAGATGTCCAGACACCCCACGGGGCATCATTTGCCCCGCAAGGTGGGTGGGCGGCCCGCCCCCGTGTATGGAGGAGGGGTGTGGCTTCGTGGGGAAGAGGTCCTTACAGAGGCAGAGGCAGGGAGAGGGAGAGCACAGGACAGGATCTGCCTTCCAGCAGGGGCTCTTCCTGAAGTCTGGCCCTGGATTTAGCTCCTACCTAACTGCTCCAGGCCTTCTCCTGGCACCGGCCCAGCAGCAACTTTTCTGCCTGGTCAAAGCGGGACTTGGAGAAAGGGCAATATTATTATCCTGGAGTTTCCAGTGCCTGGAGCTCTGCCTGCTTTCTGCCCAGCCCCAGCATTTGAACTGCCTGGACTCAGTTTCTTTGAGAGAGAAGGGATGGAGGAGCATCCCTGATCTCTCCTGGCTTCACCACTCAGATCCTTCTGGGCCACCCACCCTGCACCCCCTCCCTACCCCCTTCGGGCCCAACCACAGTCCTGCAGCCTGTGCAGCACTTCACAGTTTGCAACAAACTGAGCCCCGTTTTGCAGATAAAGGAAATGAGGTAGAGAAAGCCAGGGACACGAGGCAAGACAGACCTGGTGGTTCACCTCCCCCCTCCCCCACTTGGCTATCTCTGATCTTAAACAGGTCCTTTTGCCTCCTGTGTCTCAGTTTCCTCATTTGTAAAACTGGGTTTATGAGGATAAAATGCTTTAAGGTACCTCAAGTGCCTGGCATACAGTAGGTGCTCAGCAAATGTCTGTCCTTTCTCCTGCACACCCTTGTGTTTTAGTTTATTTACCTATTTTTGTTGTTGTTAATATAAAATTCTTCACAAGTTTGCATGGCAAAGTTGGGCAGAGCCATGCTAATATCTGCTGTATCATTCCAATTTTAGTTCACATGCTATGTTTTTATACAGTCTTATATAGTCCAGGCCGCCTCCAGACTCACAATCCTCCTGCCTCAGCCTTCCGAATGCTGTTTCATGGCTTAAATACAACTTTACACACATGGCTTCCCTTGGTGAGAGCTGCACACCTGAATTCTCCTCTGCAGCGGTGGCTGCATACAGTAGGTGCTCAATAAATGCCTGCTGGGATCGACTTGCTGTTCTGTTGGGTTTTTGACAAACCTATGAGCTCTCATCTGGGCTCCCTTGGAGACCTGGGCCTGGAGCTGTGCCATGTTGGCTTTGGTGGCAATGAAGCCATTGATTCCACAAGTTGTCCGTTGTCTTTCCTTCCCTGAGTCAGCAAGACACCTGGTCCTCGTTAGGGGCTAATTTCAGCCAAGTGCGGTGTGGGATGTGGGTGGTGTTCGGAGCCTGCATTTGGAGAGAAAGGATTTTATTTTCAGGAGTGAAGAGGAGAGAAAGCTTTTATTTCTTTATGGATCACAAGCTTGGGTGGAGATATCTCCAGCCAGTCCTCCATCTTTCCTGTCCCAGCTTCTCCTGATCTCCAGGCTCAGCAGCTATACTGCTGGGAGTCTGTCTGACTGCCTGTCTGTCTGCAGAGCCTCCAGACAGAAGCAGCCACCCACAGCTGGGATTTGAATTGGAATTGGTTTCGAGTAGGGATCTGCTCGGAAGCCTCCCTGCTTTGTTGCTGGCTGGGCAGAGCAGCACAGGTCCAGAAAACCAGTGCTGCAGAAGTATGCAGGTCTGCCCTTGCTGCTGAGCCTTTGAACCTGGGGGAAGTGTGTGTGTGTGTGTGTGTGTGTGTGTGTGTGTGTGTGTGTATGGGGGAGGACGGATCTGGAGGGTACAGATGAGGAAGTTGAGACTATCAGTGTGAAAAGGTTGCTGGTACTCAGGCTTGGTCTTTGTTCAGCCCTCAGCCCAGGACTTGAACCCTGGACTGAAGTTGAGGAATGTTGTGCAGGTGGACTGGGGGAAAGTTGAGGCCCTGTTGTTGCCTTAGAGCCGGTCCCTGGCTGCTTCCTTCTGTCTTAGATCAAGACTGTTGGATAGGGCAGTGTTTTCAGCTCTGTGGTCCCCTCCCCAGTCCCCTGGGGAAGCTTATCCCGGGCAGAGCTGCCCTGGGCCTTCCTGGCAGCTTCAGGCCTGGCTCCTCCTCCCTTCTGTCTCTAACCTATCCCATGATTTTCCTAGGCTTGGGTCGGCCAGGCCACTCCCCTGACAGCCCCTACCTCCCCAGTTGTGTCTCCCCTTCCTCTAGCAAGTCCTCCACCCCTTCTTCCACACAGTACCAAGCTCTGAAATTCTCCTAGTCCCCTGGGGCCTGCCTAGCTGGGTCAGGGGTGCCTTGATGCCTCCCCTGCCCCTGGGACAGCCTTCTTCCCAGAAGAGCCCAGGGCAGGACACATGGGGCCCTTGCCCACAAGTGAAGGAGGATTAAAAATTCTCTGAAGCTGCTAGGACCTGGGGTATGTGCTGCCTCAGTTTCTTCAAGATAGCAAAACACTGCTGTTCTGCCAGAGTTCAGCCACACATACTGGAGGGGTGCCTCTGATCACTCACCCTCAGAGCTTCTTGGATAAATGTGCCTGCTCTGTAGTGCTTGGCCTTGCCCTCAGCTGGGGTGTTTTGCACTGTGACGGCCTGGCCCCACCCGAGGAGCCTGTGCCAAATCCAGCCTGCTGGTAATGGCGTGTGCTTATGCCCTAGATGGGGTGGCACTGGAGCAGGGCGGGTTCTAGCTGGCCAGGCCCTGTCTCGGGGAGTTGGCCCCCAGCCATGGAGGACCAGAACCAAGGCCACCTTGGTGCCAGGAGATGAGGGCTGAGGTGCTGGTTCCTTGGCCCTGCAGTCTCATGCCCTGGCTTGGACCATGGGCTCTGCTAGGAGCCCTCTTGCTTCTGCTTCTGGCTGAGGCATTGGGCTCCTTCAAGTCCAGCAGCCAGGCTCCTGCGGGGCGAGTGGGAGCAGCGTCCCAGCAGTTACACAATTCAGGAGCTGTGAAATTGTCTTCTTCAGGAGCAGAAGCCAGGAAGCCATGAAGGTTTTGCCCAGAGGGGCAGGGGGCGGGTCTGAGCCATGCTCAAGCCACACTGCGAAGGTGGGACTGGGGTGTCAGGGCTGGGGGCTCTCCTGGAACCTCTGTCCCCAAGATCAGGCTCTTCCTACTATACCACATCCACAAAGGGCTGTGGCTTTGGGGGCTGTGACCAGCTGGCCACAGCTGACGTCCCCTGGGTTTGTGCTATTTCTAAATATTAGTTCATGCTGTTAACCCTCACTGCACCGCTTGCAGAGATGGACCTGGGAGGGCCTGGGCAGGCGCCCTCTGGGTGGAACTTGTGCAGGGGCAGACAACTTGGGACTGGGGTGCGGCTTCCTAAAGAAAGCGAAGAAGCTACTGGGGATAGGACAGTGCTTGCAATGGGCATAGGAGACTGGGCATGAGCTGGCAGTGGGCAGGGCAGTGGAAAGAATGTGGGCTCAGGAGTCAGACATGGTCTTGCAAAGCCACTTCTGTGTGGCCCCAGGCAGCAGGTCATCTATCTGCACCTTTCTGCTGTCCACAAATGCAGAGCTGCCAGGGTGTGGAGAGGAGCGGGTGTTAGAAACTGACAGGCAGGGGACTAGGTGGTGAGAAAGATGATGATAGTTCTCAGGAGTCTGGGAGGAGAAGCAAGGCTGATAGCCAAGAGACACCTGGTGCAAGTGGACAGGGTGATGGGCACCCCGCACAGACAGATAGAGGTGGGCATGGTGGTGCACCCGTGGTCCCAGTTACGCGGGAGGCTGAGGCAAGAGGGTGGCAAATTCGAGGCCAGCCTGGGCAACTTAAGACCCTGTCTACTATGGGTCATATCTGGATGTTCCCCTAGAGCCTTGTGGCTCATAGTTGGGCTTTTGGAAGGTGATGGATTATGGGGTTTAGGTGACTTGCTAAAGGAGGTGGGGCCTGGTGGGAATAGGTGGTCACTGGGGGCATGGCCTGGAAGGTGTATCTCCCTCCCTGGCTCTTCCCTTATTTCGGTTTCCTGTTCACCATGCCTTGAGCAGCTCTCCTCCACCAGGCCCCTATGCCATGCTGTCCTGTCTAATTATGGACTGAAACATGAGTCAAAATAATCCTCTTCTCCCTTAAGTTGTAGGTGTTGGGTGTTGTGTTCCAGCAATGAGGAAAGTGACAAAGACATTGTCTCAAAGTAAAAAAAAAAATTGAAAAAGGGCTGGGTCCAGTCCCCAGCACCCTGGATTTCAGCCTTCCTGGCCCCATCACCAGTTGCCCTTGTACAGGGCCAACTGGTGGCGGCCAAACTCCAGGACACCCTCAGTGACCCTACCTGCTACCCTTCGAGTCCTCGCGTGGTCTCCTCCCTTAGTGAGTAGGGCTGGGCTTTGTGGCCCAGAGGGCACTGTATGGCTCCCAGGTCACTGAGGAACGGGACTTCTGCTTTGCTTCCTTTGGAAGCTCACTTGACAGCAAGAAGCCAGTGGGGACCTGTGTGGGACAAGGTGAGGCCTCTGGTCTGCAGCCCTTCATGAGATTTAGCCTTTCTCGGTGTGGACATGCAGGCCTCTGTCATGCCTTCCAATGACTGTGGCCCTCCTGACATCTTGTCTGCCACCTGCAGGAGACCTGGAGCCAGAGTCCCAGCTCCAGGCACTGTGTAGAAGGAGGAGAGAATGTTGTTTTAAGTTGTTAGTGTTTGTTACAGAGCAGCACAAGATGACTGAGACAAACCTGCATGCCTATTGGTGGCATCCAGGGAGCTCAACACGGTATGTGCCTCAAGAGGCAGGGCTGTGCTCCTAGGTCAGATGTGCTGTTTTCCTGTTTGGTCAGTTGCTCAACTCACCCATTCACCCATGCGAATAAACACAGATCTGGAATTAGGCATTGTGCTAGGTGCTGGGACACAGGTGAATCATACACAGGATCCTGAGTTGTTGGATGTGGAGAGGAAGGACAAGGGAGGGTCCAGGAGAAGCCCAGGGTGCTGGCTTGTACACTTGGATGGGTGGTGGTGCTGGGCAGTGAGACAGACATGGTGGGGCACCTTATAAGGTAGTCTTTCGAGGTGCTTGGGGAAATGTGGATGACACTGGGCAGGCAGTGCACACTTGAACTTAATGCTCTTAAGAAAGTCTGGTCCAGAGAGATGCATGTTCAGTGATTTCTGGGTACCAGTGATGAAATGAAAGCTGAGAGAGGAGATAGGCAGCATGGAGTGAGGACCATGGTACAAAGCAAGATGAAGACAAGGGCTGAGCCCAGAGATGCCAATGTATTTTTCTTTTAATTAAAAAAAAGTCTTTGTTTTGGTGGTACTGGTGGTAGAACTCAAAGAGCCCTGAGCTACATCGTCAGCCCATATGTATTTTTTTTGGGGGGGGAGGGTTATTTTTGTCATTATTTTTTGAGATAAGGTCTTACTGTATAGTTCAGGGTGGGCTTGAACTTACTATGTAGCACAGTCTGGCTTTGAACACAGCAATCCTCCTGCCTCAGCCTGCCAAGTACTGGGATCACAGGTATGCTCCACCATGCCCTGCTCTTTTTATTTTGAGACAAAGTCTCAGCAAGTTAGGTTCAAACATGCAATCCTCCTGCCTCAGCCTCCTGAGTAGTCGAGATTATAGATGTGTGCCACCAGTGTGCTCTTTTAACTTTGTGTTTTGGTACCGGAGATCAAACTCAGTACTTTGTGCTTGCAAGGCAGGCGGTGGAACCACTGAGCGATTAATCCCTGGCTCTTTTTAACTTTTTATTGTCATACAATTTCAGACTTACATAAAAGTGGCCAAATTTATAAGTATTTCCCACATACTCTTCACTTAAATTTCCTGAATGTTAGTGTTTTACCCCATTAAAAAATGATTCTCTCTCTCTCTCTCTCTCTCTCTCTATATAT